ATAGACAGAAGACATCTTAGAGATGTTCCATAGGCATAGAACTTCTCACAGGTCTTCAAGAGACAGGAGACCTCTTCTATAGACAGAACACCACATATCATTGATCAACAGAGAATTTCTCACAGGACTGCAAGAGACATAAGACCTCTTCTATAGACAGAACACCACGTATCAATGATCAGTTGATGTCCCTTTTACGATCTTCTTTTGGCAAAAAACCTCTTACAGAAAACGCAAAAAATACCCCAGACTTCGCCCTCCCCTTAATTGCATTTATTTTGCTTAACAATTTTTGAAATTAAGTCACTTTAGTGTCAATAAAACAACAACAACAACAGCCACAATAGCAACAATCTTGCATTGTCGTGAGTTTATATGTAAATTTAAATAATAACAACAAATAACGCTGCAAACAACAAAAGCAACAAATATTTCTCATGCAATGTATATTTTATTTAATTTCATCTCCTTTTTGTTGTTGTTGTTGCTGTTGTTTTTCTCTTAAAGTGACCTTAGCCAACGGTTTCCAAACGTTTCGCCTGTTTTCAAAAGATGCCGCCTCATCAAAGTGAATATTTTATATGAGGAGGAGAGAGGGAGAGTGAGAAAGCGAGCGAGCGAAAAAAAAATAGTTAAAGTGTTCCACTTCAGAAATGCTCTTTCAAAAGAAGCAAAAGATTTGTTGCAAGTGTTGGTGTCGGTTGGGTTCGTGTATAGAACTATGTTTTTGTTGCCTTAATCAACGCAATATGCAGGTGGTACAAACGTAAATCTGTTCACAACTTGTGAGTGGAACATTGATTATTGTTGAGAATAAAAACTTTTTTTTGTGAAATGCGAACTTTTGATTCCAAAAATAGATTAAATCGAAATCAAAAAGGCAAAGAATATCAAACAAATTGAAATTGTTATCTCAACTTTTTGGAGCCTCAACATTTTGCTTGCTTGCCAGAATGATAGTCAAATATGTAAATTATTAGATATCTACAATATTTTTGTAAAATGTTTCAGCATTAAAAAAATTCGCAACATATTTGATATTTCTGTAATTTTATGCCCTCTGTGATATGATTACAGGGGGTATATATCAGTTGATACGGTCAAAATGTTCCTCATTGAAGCAACAGTTTTAGACTCATTTTTGGAAAACTTTTAAACCTTTGTGAGGAAGGTACCACGCGGATTGCAATGATTTATTCCATCTCCTCACTGTTTTAGTTATACTATTAGGTTGTTTCGGAAGAAAACAGCAACATAAGCAGAAATGGTTTGAAAAGTAAAGAAGCGACTTGATCGAAAACCGTGTCGCAGTGGTCGAAAAAGGTCTCGCGTGCTCAACATACCGCAATATTCCATTCGGCAAATATTGAAAAATGAGCCCGGGGTAAAAGCCATTGAAATTCCAAAAAGTGCAAGAACTTACACCGCCGAAAGCGGTGAACTGCCGAATTTGGTTTTCTCCGATGAGAAAATATTCGTTGTCCAGCACTTTGTAAACTAACAAAATGATTGTGTTTACTTGGCAAAGAGGTCAGCTGAAAATGTGCACCTTTGGTTGACCACCAGAACTCAAACGCCGGCCATGGTGATGGTGTAGGCCGTTATAACAGTCGATGGTCGATCTCTGTCCGTATTAATCGAATGTGGCATTATAATAAATGCCGAATATCATTGCGAAAATATTCTGGAGGGTGTATTTAGACTTTGGGCATGCAAAAATTTTGGCCGCAGACCTTGGACATTCGAACAGGACTCAGCACGCGCCACCCAAGAATGGTTACAAAATGAGGTTCCTCGCTTCATTTCCAGCGCACAATGGCCACCAAAATCTCCGGATACCAATCAGTTGGACTACTGTGTCTGGAGTATTTCGGAAGGCAAGGTTGGCACTAAAAAATACCAAAGTGTCGATCACCTCAAGCAAGCGCTTCGCCGGGTATGGGAATATTTCAAAAATGAAATAGACCAAAATGCCAAACCAAAAAAAAAAAAAAACAACATGTTAAAAAGCAGTAAGTTCGGCCGGGCCGAACTTTGAGTACCTTCATTTGGAACGAACTTGGAAATTTTCAAAAAATAAAATCCTTAAAAAATTCTGTTAAAATTTTAAAAATACCGAATATAGCCGTGGCCGACATGGCCCTACATATGCATTTTTTGTCATAAGCCATTACCATATTCAAATTCGAAACTTGAAATAAACGGTGAATAATGTAGTTAAAATCATCAAAATATCGTATATAGGGAGGTAGCGTTATATCGGCGCTGTGCAAAGACCTGAACCAGCACAGACAATTTTCTGTCACAGGCTATATATAGCATCCATTACGAACGTCAAATACGACATCTTAAACAATTTCGGTGGGTATTGTACCTAAACTCGCGAAAATACCGAATATAGGGAGCTAATGATATATGGGGCCGATACGAAGACCTGGACCTGCATAGACAATTTTCTGTCACAGTCTGTAGTTCCCATTACGAACTCAAAATACGTAATTTGAAACAATTCCGGTGAATATTGACGCCAAAATCATCAAAATACCGAATATCGGGAGGTACCGTTATATGGGTGCTATATGAAAACGTGGACCTGCACAGACAATTTTCTGTCAAAGGCTGTAGTATCCATTGCGGATCTCAAATACCAAATTTGAAACAATTCCGGTAAATAAAATCGCTAAAATCATCAAAACACTAAATATCGAGAGATACCGTTATATTGGGGCTATACGAAGACGTGGACCTGCACAGACAATTTTCTGTCTTAGGCTGTAGTATCCATTTCGAACTTCAAATACCAAATTTGAAACAATTCCGATGAATAATGTCGCTAAAATCATAAAAATACCGAATATCGGGAAGTACCGTTATATGGGTGCTATATGAAAACGTGGACCTACAGGGTTGCCCATATTCGACGGACCTTTGGGCCAATTCCAATCGACAGCCAACATTCTTTGCGTCAATTGAATTATGTACGGGAACAAATGCAAATCAATGCGAATAATCCGTTGTAAAGTGGACCGAGCCATGCCCAACTGCTGAGAACGGCGTTTTTGGGATGTTCTTGGGGACCTCTCAACACTGGCTCGTACGGCAGCGATATTCTCGGCCGATCGCCTTGGTCGACTTTTATATGGCCTCTTCGGATTAGAAAGAGCCTTACCAGTCGAACATTTTTCGTATAAACGCTTAATGGTGTTCTTAGAAGGCGCACTTCTCACATTTTTTAATGTTTTAAAAGTACGTTGAGTTTTCACAATTGACTTCTTCTGTTGAATGTAAATTTCAACTATTTCAGAGCGCTCGCGTGGCGTGTATTGGTTCATGGTAAAAATCTGCTTGGACTGACGCTTCAAACGCGGGATGTCATTACCGCGATGTGACATCTCTGTCAAAAGTTATGACGTTGCCAGATGGGTCCGTCGAATATGGGCAACCCTGTTCATGGCCCATTTACGAACTTAACCTGCCTACTGGAAAAATAAACACGTTTCCAAAATTTTAGCCTTCTATCTCAATTCGTTAATGGTGGAGGGTATAATAATAAATAAATAAATAAATGGTTTATGCACAGAAAGAGAAGCAAAAATCCAATCCAATCCAGTTGTAACTCAGGTGCAAAAATGGCCAATATCGGTCCACTCCATCAAGTGCCTCCCCTACAAAGGATTAAAATTTTGAATATTCATAAAACTCATAAAACACGAAAATAACATCCAATTCCATTTAGACTTGGCATATCGCAATATTTCCATCAACGTAAAATCTGTTCAAAAAGATGGTAGCGATCGAACCATTCCTTATGATACCTCCCCCACAAATGGTTAAAATTTAATTTAACCAAAACTATCATAAAATCGGAAATAGGCATCCGATTCTATTCATATATCATGAGGGGTTTGATATGATTTTTCATCCAATTTTTTCTGATTCCATGGTATAAACCAGGGCAAGGCAGAGAGCCTCAAAATTTTTTTGTGATTGTATGTGTTTTGAAATAACAAAATATTGCAAGTGTTTTTTGCCTCTCTTTACACAGTGAGAAGTAATTTGTTATCTTTAAATTTTTATTTTTAAATTTTCTGTTTTCAAAACAACTTTGTTGGTAAAAATTAATATTTTGATCAGATAATTCGGACAAAAAAAAAAACAAGTAAAAAAGCTGTAAGTTCAGCCTGGCCGAACTTTGAATACCCTCCACCGTTTGGAACGAATTTGGCAATTTTCAAACAAATAAAATCAATTAAAAATTCTGGTGAAATATTAGAAATATCGAATGTAGCCGTTATATTAGGGTCTATACGACGAAGTGGACCTGCATAGGCAATTTTTGTCATAAGCCATTACAATATTCAAATGCGAAACTTGAAAAAATCGGTGAATTATGTAGCTAAAATCATCAAAATACCGAATATCGAGAGGTACCATTGTATGGTGGCTATAAGAAGACGTGTACCGGCACGGACAATTTTCTGTCATAGGTTGTAGTATCCATTACGAACTTCAAATACCAAATTTGAAACATATCCGGTTAATACTGTCGCTAAAATAATCAAAATAAGGAATATCGGGAGTTAGCGTTATATAGGGCCATACCAAAACGTGGACCTACATGGCCCATTTCAATACCAAAAGTCCTGCAGACATAATATACATTTGAGTAAAATTTTATTAACCTATTAAATTTCGCTAGAGTGATTTCCACAGACGGATTGACGGACGGACATCAAATTTGTAGTAAGATATTTTTATGTGTTCCAATATTTCTTTCGGTGTATTCATACAAATATCCCACAGCACCTTCCTCATCGACTGCTCAAATAAAACTAAATATTCTCCCAAAACCAATTTGACAGAAAATTCAAAACAATTTATTTTTTACAATTGTGTTGGTGAACACACAGATATCCCAATAATTACATTTAACGTATGATTAATATGAATTACACTTAAACAATATATTACGAATACGCCATAGCGTTCTCAATACTTACAATTATATTTTATTGTTTACTTTTCTTTTTTTGGAAATGTTTTCTAAAAACAGAGCGTTGTGTTAATATTCGTTGTTATTCAATTTAAGATGTCGAAGAAAAGTAATGGTAATCCTGAAGGAGTGGAGTGGGGTAGAGGGACATTTGACTCCGTAGCAATGATTAACTATGTGTATATATTTAATTTATTATTAAAATATTCAGCAAATGAAAGATGTTATTATTTATTAATTATTTCAGATTATTTTGTTGTTGGAATATTGGAGAAGTTGTTGTTTTTAATTTCGTATATATTTATTATTTATTAATTTATTTTTTAATTAAAACATGTTGCATGCAACAATGTATGTTAATGCGTTGGTTGGTAGGTATGTGATTATTGTTGTGGTTGTTGTTGGAGTTGAAGAGTTCGAGAATAAAGGCCAAAGCTTTCGTTTTTTGTTTTTTTTTTTTCGTTTCTGTTTTTTTTTTTTTTTTTTTTTTTGGGTTTGAATGAAATCAATGGAGAGAGAGTAAGAGAGCAATATCCAAGAAGAGTTAATATTTATTTTTATGGATTTCGTTTTTATCTCCTTTTTTTGGTTGAGGGTTTTTTTCTTCTGTGATTGAATTAGGGGTGGTTTTTGAAGTTTGCTGGCTTTTGTGTTTTTTGACAGTTGACAGCTTAATAATTTATTGAATAAAATCTCTCCAAAAAAGATGTTTGTTGCGTAGAGTTGTGTGTTGTTTTTTCTTCTTCTTCTTCTTTGCCTTTTGATGGACAACGAGTGGAAACAGAAATTACAGCTGCTGGCGATTTTTGTTTCTTTTTTAAATTTTTTTAGGGATTAAATGTTGATTTATTTTTTCTTGTTATTTTATATTTTTTAAGGTTAGAGGCACATAATATTTTTATTTTATATTTATTTTTTAAATTTACATGATTTTCATAATTTTTATTAAATTATTTATTATTCTTTTTCATTTATATTTTATTTACACTTTTTACAAGATTTTGCATTTGTCTTGTAGTTGTTGTTTTTTTATTTGGCCACTATATTTGTTTTATAGAGAATTTTTTTTTTTATTTTTTATTTGTGTATTTTTTCTTTTATATTTTCAACTTCAGTTGTCTTAGCCCAATTTTGTTCTGGCCTGATCCTACACGCACATTTTTTTGTTGTGTCTTAATGTCAGTGTTCGAATGGCGTGTCAATGCCCAGGAGATTTGTATGTTATTAAGTTTCGTGTATGTGAATGTCTGTATGAGAGAGACATAGAGAGAGAGAGAGAGAGGCCAGAGAGTTAACGGTAGAGAGCACCGTAAGGTTTCCTTGTGTATGTGTGGATTAGCACTTGCTTGTTGCAATACTCTGGTCAGGTCTGGTCTATGAGTTTTCGCTACTGAAATATAGTTGGGTTGGATGGTAGGTTTGTTGGTTGGTCGGTAGTGGTGAATTTCTTTTGAACTTTAATCTGTGACTCGTGTTTTTTTATTATTCTCACGGCTTGTACACCTCTTTTCCTTTGTTATCAGTGGAGATTTTCCTTTGTGGCCCCAAACATATGATAAACTTTTTTTCTCTATGAGATATAGGGAGAGAGAGAGAGTGGAAATTCTATTTAACATAAGTGGTGAATTACTGTTATCTCTTGTTTTCCTCTCTTTTTTAGGCGCGCACTCAGCACTCACACACACACTCTCTCTTTTATTCCACTAGGAGCTTTACAAATACGTTTTTTTACGTTTTCCTCTAATTAATTGCCCTTTTACTGATGTTGTTGTTGCTGTCTTACATATAGATTCCTCGTAGTGCTTATTCTTCCTCCTTATGTTCATGGTTATACACACATTTATAACTTTTGCATACAAATGGAAGGGAAAAAATAAATACTCAATTTTTTTTCGTTTCAGCACTTCACTTTATTTTTTTTTTTTGTTTTTTTTTTTTTTTTTGGAGGTGGTCGTTTTGAAATTTTCTTTGAAATTTCATTTATTTATTATTTTTTTGGAAATTTTTTCCCTCAATTTAAATTTTTTTCTTTTTCTAACTATTTTTCATATGTTATTAAACTTTGATGGTGGAGACAAGGGCAGGTTGGGGTATGGGGCTCTTGTTCGAGAGATACATTAATTCTATTGCAGAGGGAAAAATCTGTGTATTTCGTTATTCACAGAAAACAACAACATTTGCTTGCTGACTGACTGACTGGCTGACTGGCTGGCTGGCTGGCTGGCCTCCTCACACATTGGCCCAAGACCATTATTGTATACAGATTTTTTCACTGAACGCACTCATTTCACTCATTGCCTTGTGATTTTCAATTTTTTATCTCTTTGACAGGTATCACAGGAATTTTTTCTTGACTTTTCGCATTTTTTTCTGGGCAATATTTCGGACTTCTTTAAATTATCCTTTTTTTTTGGAAATATTTCACTTTTTTCGTTACTAGAATATTGAGAAAAAATTTTAAGACTTTTTTGTGCTGGAATTTCTTTTTTTTATTTTTTCTTTTTGTTGTTGTTCTATATGTTTTTTTTTGGTTAATTCTTAGATTTTCATTATTTTTTTTTTTTTTTTTTTTGGTATTTTTTGTCTTATTACGCGCTCTACGACGACGACGACGGCGACACCACTACACGACAACGACTACTGAACCTTATGGTGGAGCTGTTAACTTTAAGTATCCCAGAGCTCCCCTTTTTTTGAAGGAAAATTCACCACACATCGACATAATTCACCACTACCTCGCACATATGGCCATAGCCATGGTCTATAACTAAATTCCATCTCCTGGTGGTGGATTTCCCAACATTATCCTTGCTCTACCCCCATCCTCGCGACCTCACCTCCTTTCTCCCCCCCCTCTCTCTTTAACATTAATATATGCTAGCTGATTTTTTCCGTTTCTACTTGATTTAGCTTTCACTTTCGCTTAGCTTTATTTATTCATCAGCAGTGCTCTGAGAAGAATGAAGCAAACGGTGGACACTCGTCATCAAAAGCAGCAACAACAACCACCACCACAACAAAAACAGCAACACCACCAACAACAACAGAGCAATATAACCCCACAATATTGAAATATTGACATTTATGAACTATTACCATATTTTTCGCTTTGGCCTAGTCACACTTTATATTTCACGCACCTCCCGCACTCTCTCGTTCGCTCTCTTCCCCATTTTTGCTCTGTACAATAACATGAACTTTCCCCATAACCATTAACCAATTTGTGGTTATCGTTATTTTTGTTGTTGTTAAAGCATTGCATTTTTTGATCGCCTTAACAGAAAAAAAAAATAAAATTCACAAGTACATCCGAATGTATATGCCATTTATAGCCTATAGGGATTTTTGACCTTTTCAATGATTCTCGGAATTGATGAAATTAAAAAATATAAATAAATAATACAGTGGGACCCCAATAATATGGTTAATACAAAAATAAAGACAAAGCTTTTGAGAAAGTGAAAGGATATTCCTCTGAAAGGACTATTCAAGAGAAGAAAACGCTTTCAAATCAACTTAGAGTTATATTACTACTAGATATTTTGAAAAAAATATTATCGCAGATTTAGACAGGGCCGGACCCATGGTACAATGATATCAAGGTAGGGCTATGATACCATATGATTTCAATTTTTTTATTTTCTTGGCTTAATATGTCATCTTTATTTGTTTATGTATGTGTTTTCATTTCAATAACAAAAAAATTGTTCAGAAAATATTCAAATTAGGATATTTTCAAAATGTTTATTTCAACGTATGCATCGACAAAATCTAGAGTTTTTGCAGCGAAATAATCCTTTAGAGATATATAGTACATGATTTTGAAAATAAGTGTTCACCTTTCATTCAGTTATCGCGATTTTCATTTAAATATTCAAAATAAATGCAACAAGTTGTTTGATTTTTTATTGTTTTGATACTAATTTTGACATTACAAACCAAACAGGCCTCTATACTTTTTTTCTTCAAAGTTGACCTACCTTCTCTTCATTGTACCATGGCCGGATCGAACTTTTTATATCCTCAACCATTTGGAAGGAACTTGAAAATTTTCAAAAAAAAAAAAAAAAAAAAAAACATCGAAAAATACCGCATGGAACAAAAAAATTTTGTATATATGAAGAAGTTTTGCTAGATAAGCAATTTTCTTTCATAGGCTGCAGTAACGATTCCGAACTTCGAATACGAAATTCGAAACAATTCCGGTGATTAATTTAGCTAATATCATCAAAATACCGAATTAATGGAGGTAAGTAAGGTAAGTAAGTGAACCTGCATAAAAAATCACAGGTTTAGAGAGAGCCGGACCGAACTTTTTACACCCTCCACCATTCGGAAGGAACTTAAAAAATTTCAAAAAAAAAAAAAAAAAAAAAAACATCGAAAAATACCGCTTAGATAAAAACTTTTATATGGGGGCCATAGAAAGACGTGGTGCTGGATAAGTAATTTTCTGTCATAGGCTGCAGTAACGATTCCGAACTTTGAATACGAGATTCGAAACAATTTCGGTAAATGATGTCGCTAATATCATCAAAATACAGAATAAATGGAGGTACCGTTGCATGGGGGCTAAACTAAGAGGTGGATCTGCATAAAAAATCGTACATTCAGAGAGGGTCGGGCAAAACTTTTTACATCCTCCGCCAAATGGAAGGAAATTGAAAATTTTCAAAAAAAAAAAAAAAACATCGAAAAATACCCCTTAGATAAAAAAATAAACTTTCTATGGAGGCTATAGGAAAACGTGGTGCTGGATAAGTAATTTTCTGTCATAGGCTGCAGAAACAATTCCGAACTTCGAATACGAAATTTGAAAGAAATCCGGTGAATAATGTCGATAATATCATATAAATACCGAAGAAAGGGAGGTACCGTTATATGGGGGCTAAACTAAGACGTGGACCTGCATAAAAAATCGCAAATTTAAAGAGGACCGAACTTTATACACCCTCCACCATTCGGAAAAAACTTGAAATTAAAAAAAAAAAAAAACATCGAAATATACCGCTTAGATAAAAAAACCTTTCTATGGAGGCTATTGGAAGACGTGGTCCTAGATAAGTAATTTTCTGTCATGGGCTGTAGTAACGATTCCAAACTTCGAATACGAAATTCGAAACAATTCCGATGAATAATGTCGCTAATATCATCAAAATACCATACCGTTGTATGGATCCTAAACTAAGACGTACACCTGCAAAAGCAATTGTTCGTCATAGGTTGTAGTACCCATTACGAACTTTAAATACGAAATTTTACACGATTCCTGTGAATAATGATGCGAAAATCCTATGAATACTGAATACCTTTGGGTAGCTATATTAAAACGTCGACTTACAGGGTGAGATGAAAATACTGCAACCAATTTCAGACTGCTGTCATTTCTAAGCCACTCGTTCGACAGATGTTAAAATTCTTTCAGTGACAGCTCATTATATTGTTTACAAGCGTACAACAGCAATTTGGTGAGGAAGAGCTAAAGAGTTGCTTCACTTGGCCGAAAGTGGTAAACTGCCGAATTTGGTTTTCTCCGATGAGAAAACATTCGTTGTCCAGCAGTTTGGAAACAAAAAAAAAATGATCGTGTTTACTAACCAAAGAGGTCAGCTGAAAATGTGCACCTTCGCTTGGTCACCTAAACTTAAGCGCCGGCCATGGTAATGGTGTGGGCCGCCATAACAGCCAATAGTTGCTCTCTGCTCGATTTAATCGACCGTGGCATGAGAATAAATGCCGAATATTATCGCGAAAATATTCTTGAGGTTGTATTAAAGCCTTGGACGCGCAAACATTTTGGCCGCAGACCTTGGATATTCCAACAGGACTCAGCACCATCGAACTCAGCACGCGCCACCCAAGAAGGATTACAAAATGAGGATTCTCGCTTCATATCCGGATACCAATCCGATGGGCTATTGTTTCTGGAGTACTTTAGAAAGCAAAGTTGGTACCTTGAACAACGGTTTCGTTGGCCGTTTGAAGGCCATAATTCGTGCCAAAGGTGACCAATTCGAACAAATCTAAACTTGTTCTAAAATTTGATGCCATTTCCCGCATTTTTCACTTTCATTCAATAAATTTAAAAAAAAAGTAAAAATTTTGAAAATTTGATTTTGACTTTGTTGAAGTTTTTTTATCTCACCCTGTATATAAACAATTATTTTCCAGGGGATAACTTCTTGTGTGGTTTTTAGACTATTCATCAAAATACCGAATATCGGGGGGTACTATTATATATATGGGGGCTATACGATATCGTGGACCTATATAGAAAATTCTCTTTCAGGGGGTAAGACATTCACAGAGAACTCCGTGTCTAAAATTTCAGACAATTCTATTTACCGAATTTCGGCATTTACAGTTATTTGGGCGATATACGTTATCAAGGACCTACACAGACAATTCTTTTTCAGGGGGTAAAATAGTCACGAAGAGCTCCTTGTATAGAATTTCAGACAACTACTTTAAATTTATCAAAATACCGAATATCGGGGAGTACCGTTAAATGGGGGTTATACATTATCGTGCACCGATATAGTCCATCTTCGAACTTGATCTGCCTACACACAAATGACTGACAAATGGAATCTTTAAAATTGATTGATTGTCTTTGTTGGAATATGGAATTGATAAATGTGGATGTGGTTTTGAAAATATGTACTATAAGTGTACGGAAAATACTAACCGGTACTAAATATGGTATTGGGTGTCTGTGGTTGAGAGAAGGATCTGGTTTTGGATATGGGTACAATTGTTCTACTAAATGGTACAATGTTTGATAGTGGGGGTATTTAAGGAGCTTAAATGGTATTTGAGGATATGATACTTTGCAAATCCTAATATTTGCATCAGTGCTCCATCAAGTACCTTCCCTCAAAGGGTCAAAATTTGTGATGTAAGAGTCCGTTTGTCTTCTATTCAGTCTACTTTAAGTATTTAAAAAAAAAAAAAAAAAATATATACATATATATATATATATATATATATATATATATATATATATATATATATATATATATTTTTTTTTTTTTTTTTTTTTTTTTTTTTTTTGAGAACAATTCCCAATTCTCAACTTAGATCAACTTTTTGGTATAGAATTATCGGAACAAAAAGATAAATATACACTTGGTTTCTGATAGGGGTTCCAAGTTACAATGCAAATTTCCCAACAATCTAAACACCAAAATTCAAATTCTTAACAGATCTTACAACATCCTTTTCTCTCCTGCCATTGTTTTTCAAACCCCACTTGCTTGCACTCACACACACAATAACTACAAAACATCTCGGCGAACAGGCACCATTTAATATTTGAATTCATCCAAAATTCCAATCCCATAGGTGTTGTTAAGTTTTTTATTTCTTTTCTCGCACAAAAGGTGATGTTTGATTAGTTAGTTGGGCAGGAGACAAAGGAGAAGAAGAAGAAGGAAGAGAAAAAGACGCCTAAAAACCCATCATCCAAAAGATTGTAACTTCTTTGTGATGCTAATGCATGCACGTGTAAATGTGTGCGTGTGTGTGTGTGTGCGTTTGCACCCTTCTGCGTATGTTTGTGCAAAGGTGTGTGATTTTTTATTATTATAGCCAACACCATGTTTTGGAGGGTATGATAG